TGGAGCAGCAGGCCCGACGGGGCCTGGCCCCTGTGCCGCCCGGCCTGGGGGGCTGGACCCCGTGGCCCCTCGGCTCTGCACCCTTCAGCCTGCCGGCCCGAGCCACCGCCTCCCGCGCGAAAGCCCCCGTTTCCGATGCGCGGTGTGGGCTGCGTGCGCCCCGGGCGCGGATCTGATGAAAACTCCACGCTAACTTCGAGCGCCGAGCCCCTGCCGGAGTTGACGAGGCAGCGGGCCTTTCCCACGTGGATTTCAAACGGCGCTTCAAAAGCTACTCCCCTTCATCGCCACTCATCACGCTCCTCGAACTGACCTTCGTGGAACAGTCCAGGTCCCAGTAATTACTGTTGTCGTTGACTCAGGCGCTCGGGTTAAAAATGGCTTAGGAAGGCTCCCGCTCCCTCATAAATCACACAGCTCACCCATTAAATAAGTCGCTCATCGGTGTTTGCAAACTGTGTTGCGATTTTCCCTCCCCTCTCTGCCCTCACTGACTGTGTTCCAGCTCCTCATCTCCAGCCCCCACTGCCTGCTCGGTTAGCTGGCTGATCCCCATTGCCACTGTCCCCACTGTTAGAATACTTGTAATCTGGGGACTGGGCATTACAGGGAATAAGGAACAGTTCACCTTCTCATGATTCACTTGTGTGCGTGCATGAACACACACACACACGCGCCATGTCGATTATCAGCCACAGAAACTATGTACATGATTCATACTCGGAATACTTAGAACACTAAGATACCAGAGCTGGACGTAGCCTTGGAGATGTCCTAAGCCAATGTTTCCAGAACTACATTGATTGTACTCACGTGGAGTATTTCTACAGATCAGTGCTCTAAGCACCTAACACTTTCATGTTGGAAACTATTAAACTCAGAATCTGGGTTTTTGAAATGACGTATGCAGGGATGTTTGAGATTCTCAACCCCTGAGCAGAGGAGCATCTGAGAGTCAAAGGTGACCCACCCCTCCAGCCAGGAGCAGAGGTGGGGATTCGTATCTCTTAACGGGCACTTCTGCCTCCTGGGGCCAGGGGTACTTCACTGTGTTGCACTTGTCCCTTTGAGGACAGGTTGAGAGGAGATGAACAAAAGAGCTCACCTTCTTGCTCAATTCAAAGATAAGAAGCTCAGCCTTTAGTGGGGAAGAAAAATATGAGTCTGCAAACTTAACATACAATGCGGCAAGTTTTACAGCCTGGTGGGAGAGCTGTGGCACTCAGAACAGGCGTGGGGGTGATGGGTTTTGACTGCAGTTATTGGAATCTGCAGAGAGGTCACAGACAAAATGTCCTGTCTTTGTTTAAGCCAACTGCTTTATCAACCCTGACTAAATCACTTTAACTGAAACTGAAGGGCTGTTGTTGATAAATTTCCATTTTATTGCCCATATATCCATAGCTTATGTTCCCATTTCTCAATTGTTTTCATTCAGAGCTGCTCTTTTTATGATTCTGGAGAACTTAGCATCCAAAATAACAGGGACTCTCTGCCCTCCCTTGAAGGCCCTTCTGCTCATGTGGGACTCCTCTGTCCCTGGATATCCTTAACGAGGTATCACAATGTCCTCATTATCCAAACAAAGACGCCACCGGAACCCAGTGAGCTGCCCACTGAAGCAAAGCCGTCTTCTGCCTGTCGCTGTGGACACCATTGCCCATGAGAACTGTCGTCAGACCTCTTTGCCATTTCATTCACTTTTGAACCAAGTGTCGGGTAACAGAACAAGTTTATACCAGCCTTGGTAAGTTTAGAGAGTCTGAGAGCCTGAGAGAATCCTACACACAAGACACAAGCCCCAGGACCTACACACTAAGAAGGGACCCCAGCGCAAAGTCAGGCACATGAACGGCAGTCACCAGCCCCCTGAATGGTCTCTCTGGTTGTGAGAACCACATACTAGGTTGGGTAAACACTGACTTCGCTAAGCCCGAGTCCCTGGCAATGTTAAGAGTCCCCTCCTTATTCCAGGAAGGGCTGTTGCTGCACAGGAAGACAGAATGGCAACCGTCAGCCAACACCAGCGGCCTAGAATTGTCTAGGTTCTCCAAAAAGGCCCCTGGGGCATGTCTGGCAGACTGAGAGGATTTCACGCTCCAACACCCTTAAGCCTTGATATGCAAATGAAGCTATCTGGCCCCCAGGGATCTGATGGAAGAGATGGCTGAAAGTAATTGGATGATGTCTGCTGAGAAAATGCTGAAGGCTGAATGTGAGCCTCAGGCATGGCTGCTGAACATGGGTGTGAATCTGTTCCTGCCTCCTTTGCAGGGCACCCAGGCCTGACAGCTTGCTGGCCAAACTTTGAAATTTGATGGGTGTCATGTGGTTGGCAGACCACAGACCAGGGTCCTTCTACCCCCGTTCCTATTCCTTAGGCCACCCTCCTGGGATGTGCGCATGAGTTCCCAAGGCTGGAAAATGTGTTACCAGCTACCTGAACAATCTCCAAATTTTCTACCATAGCCCAAAGCCCAGGATCCATCATTGCCAAACTGAAAGGCATAACACGGTTGCCCTAGTCCCACTTGAGCCTCTCTAAATATTCCCTTATCCACCCAAGAAGTGCTCCACCGCAGGCACAGAGATGGAGACCTGCCAGCTTGGTGAGGCAACTGCTGAATGTTGCAAGTCCTCCAGAAGCCGATGAAAAGACACCCTCTGCTGGTCTAGGAGCACCATGCAAGACTCCCTCCTGCAGCCGCCTCTATGACGCAGACCCAGGTGTCTGGACTTCCACAGGACTGGGTAGGACAGAGAACAGAAGGTCCACCAGGAGGCACCGCCTGCAATAACGCTGGGGGCTCAATGCTGTCATATACTTCAAATCAAATAGTGTGTGCGTGTTACTGCGGATGTAAATACAGGAGCAAAATGCTGGATACCAAAATTTCTACAGAATGACCTATGTTTATGGGACTTACTGTGGCTATTTCCTTTATGAAGCTTATATATACAAGCTGTCCTCAAAAAATGTAAACACAGTTTCACAGCTGATAGCTCAATTCTGAAAATGAAATGTATTTTAATAAACATTGCCTTTATAATTATTCAAAGTGTATGCATACATTATGGGGGGACACCCTATATATTATTTCCTTCTTACTTAAGATACTGATTAAATCAACAATAAAACTGATTCTATTTGAATAAATCATTTTGGAAAATAGATGTCATACAGGACATCTTAACTATGACATCTTATTAATTTCATAAGGTTGCCATATCAAATGACCACAGACAAGGTGGCTTAAAAGAAGAGACATTTATTCCCTTGCAGTCCAGACGCCAGGAGTCCAAAAGCAAGGTGGCAGCAGGGCCACATTCCGCCGGAGGCTCTGGGGAGAATCCTCGCCTCCTCCAGCCACTGGGAGCTCCTGGCCCTTCCTTCGAACAGCAGCTCCAGTCTCTTCCTGAGGCATCAAAGGCCAACTTCTGTGTGTCTCTGTGTCTCAAGTCTCCCACTCTTTCTCTTTTTTAAAAAATCATTTATTTTTCAATTACAGTTGACATAAAATATTCTATTAGTTTCAGGTGTGCACCCCAGTAATTAGACATAAAACTTAAGTGATCACCCTGAAAAATTTCATGCCCATCTGACACCACAGCTTTTAGAGCATTATTGACTCTATCCCGGCTGCTGTACTCTACTCCCCCAGGACTACACCTTAACTAGTCCTTTGTGCTTCTAAATCCCTTCACC